GCAGGAATACTTCTTCTGCCAATTTTAAAATCAGTGGTGCGCCATGGAGTAAGTGTATTATTTACTTCTCAAAAGAAAGAAAAAAAGAAAGCCAACCACCGATGATTTAATTATTGCTATATTGTTGTTAAAATTTTACCTGTTCTTATCTGGAGGTTAACAACATTTTAGGCCTTTTTAGTTTTTTGGTGTAAGGAAAACAAGTAAGACAGCTAGTTAAAAATGAAATAGCTAATTACATTATTTTATGCAAATTCCAGGTAAGTGGTCTTCTTGTACATACACTAAATAGGATCCTTCTTTAGTTCTTAGTTTTGCTTTTCTGAAGACAGAGTATAGGGAATAAGGTTGCAGATTTGCCTTCTGCAGTTTGTGTAAAGTTTATTTCTTTCTTTTCCCAACTGAGTGTGCCATCTCGTTTAACAGAACCATACATGGTAAGACAAGGCAAGGCTCTTTTCTGCTCAACAGCTGTCCTCAAGACCACTCAAATCATCATCCTAATTTTTTTTTCTTTCAGCTCAATACAAATAGTGTATGGGAAGGTTAAAGCACCAACTTTAAGTCTCATCTCAACATACCTTAATTAGAAAGTTAGCTGCACTTTTTTTCAAGAAATCATCGATGTAAGACTTGATTTTATCCATTAAGAGATTGTAACTGAAATTCTGGAGGAAGGGAACATATGGGTCTCTCCTGTTAATTATCATGGTCAGCTTCATTCTTAGAGTCTAATACAAAAACCCCCCAAAAAACAAACAAACAAAAAATATTACAAAATTTTAACTTATTACTGCATTTACGGTATCAGCAAATATTTTCAAGTTAGCATTTTTCAAATATGTATTCTGCATTGAAAGTTAAGCTACACGTGCATTTTTACTAGTAAAGCAAGTTCTCTGAACATATTGCCTACACTGATCTCTACCACAGTTTGTTCGTTTTAGAAACATTTCAAACTTTACTGTGTGGGTTACACATACAACCAACACACAATCTTTCTGACATCCCAAGCTGCCCTGTTTTCCCTTCACTTTCTTGAGGCATATTCGAGAACTCCTACAGAAGTGGAGATAAGGACACTGGGGTGGCACAATACATCCAGAAAACATAAATTAGGAGCTGCTTTACTTTTTCATTGTCTCCGTTGATTATTGCTGAAAGAGCTTAATATTACTGAGAGAGAGGGCCAACTAGTATTAAAGTATTAAGCCTTTCTGAAATAAATGTGGAATCAAGATATGACCTGAACTCTAGATGACAGCTTTTGAAATGTTTTAAATAGCACCACCAGTTTGTCACGGATGCTGATGTAGCTTTAACCCCATTCTTTCTGGTGCAGCAGTTTGTGGTCGTGGAGGTCTATATGCAATCATGTCTCTATGTTTAGTCGGTCTTAAAATTTATCATTTTTCTCCTAGTTAGAAAATGATGAGTGATGCATTTCTTATTAAATATGTTAAACATGTCAAGTTTTATTTGGATAGAAATTGGAATTCAATTAAAAATGAACAAACAGCATTTTAAAATCATTTAAGAAAAATATATTTCTGTATCCAGCATATCTGAAGGTCTAATTTTTTTATAATAGGTTTCGCATTTCATTGCGATTAAAATGAAAGTTTTTTCCATAGTTATCTGCCAAGATTTTAGAGCTAGTTAATCTCATTCTCGTACCCCAGCTCCGTAGAGTGGAAGAAAACAAGCTTTCATGCTTGTTTAAATTTCTAGTTAGTTGCTTGTTTCTTATGAATTACAAATAAAGAAAAAACATTCCCTTTGCACATGAAAAAAGCAGAAGTTGGGTTAATACTTCAACAACCTCTGGTTTCAAGTACTAGCCAGGAGTTGTCTCAATTCAGAATTGTGACCTTAAAACTTTACCACAAAGCACATATTTTAAATGATTAAGAGTTTAAAACCTTAACAAAGGTTGTCAAACCCATTTAAAATTGAATGCATCCTTAAAAGTTTTAAATTTAAATAAAAAAAAGTCAATGTATTTAACAATCTTCATGTAAGTCATCTCAATTCAATTAACAGCTCACTGGAGATTTGGATCACACTGGGTGTGCCTACATGTGCATATTAATATGCAATAAACTCCAGTGCTTATCGCACCAGAGTTTATTGCTCCTGGGCACCACTTTTACACCTGTGCCCAGGCATGTAGAGCCAGCTTAGAGGGCCATGAGGATGCTCCAGTGTAGAGCTAGCCAGTAAGTAGTCCCTGCACTGAAATGCCCTCATGCCCCAGCCAGCCCCGAGAGTGTCTATACGAGCGCTGCTGCGCATGAAAAAACTCTGCAGCAGGATAGTACTTGTATTTACAAGTACTACTTGCTGCGGAGTTAATTTGTTTCCTGAGGCTGAACAGGGCTGTATGTGTAGATGCTGAGACGTTTACTGTGAAGCTAATTAGACAACTTAAAAGTAAATGTCTCATGTAGACAGCCACTGTCTTCATTTGGTTCAGGCAGAGGATGGGTATGAGCATCAGACCTTGGTATAACTGGTATTTGACTAAAGTTTTAGACTATATTAATTGTATCGAGCTTACATCATGCCTTAAAAACTTAATTTAGGTAAGGCTGTATTTTCTACTCCACGTCCAAATCCTCTCTCACCAAGTGAACTATAAAGGTGAAGAAAGGAAAAAATAATCACTTTCAGGCTAAATTATCTGATTTTTCTTCTACAGTTCTACTCAAAGCTAAACATATACAGTTTAAAATAAAAAGGTTATAGATTACCCACCTTATTTGGTTCCGAATCTAGTCTGTCAAGGACTTCAGAAGCCTCCTTATAGTATCCTTTTTCTATGTAGACTGCTACAGCCTATACAGAGGATAAATAGAATTGTAACTACAGGACACACTGAATTCAGTACTATTGAGATCATTTTGAAAAGCATACGTAATGTTATATTTAATGCCAAAACATGATTCTTAATTATTTTGAAAGAGAGAGCGCAATCCAAAGCAATCTGTTTGTACTAGTAATCTTTATTTAGCTTTTGGGCAGAGGTAGCACAGGTAAAACTCATCAGACCACACAGGGCAGATCTGGGTTGCAGGGCTTGTCTGCAAGCTGAATTCAGAGCATGGAGCTGCCTAATTTGTTCAGTGGGGGGTGCTAGCAGGGATGGAAATTTAGTGATTGGACAAACTCCCAGAGCCACAGCTACCACCACTTGTCCAACTGCCACATTTCTAGACCCTTGGGCAGCCCCACAGGCCACATGACACTGTTCTACGATCTGGAGTTGGTCCAGGGATCAGAAATTTGGTAGTGAAACAAATTGTGTCTGCCACAGTTCCAGGAGCCACAGCAGTTGCACCGCCACTGCTGCAATTAAATTTCTGGCCCCAAGGGCTAGATGACAGGGCTCTGAACTCTAGATCTAGCCTGCAGGCTGTAGTTGACACCCCTCCTTTTGGGCAAGAAAGGTATTTTATAAAGCAGGTATGCTCAAACTTTTGGCTATGTATGTTAGATAAGTGTCCAGTCCGCAGGCCAGATTAGAACGTGGGCCACTCTGCTCACTCCCCAGCCATGCCACTCACTCAATCTAGCAAGCAGGGCCACATTATCTGGCCCATACGGCTCCCCTGGGGTCCAGCAGTTAGCTGCCATTTCCTCTGGCCTGAGGGGAGCCCCTCAGGCTGGGGGACAAGCACTAAAGAGTGGAAAATCCAACCTTATTATTTTGCATTTAGCTATGGTACAGTTGAGATAAGAAATTAATTGGAAGAAAAACAAGATTTGCAAGTTTCAAAGAGATTAGATATTCAGGAGGATAACACTTATTTATTTATAATATTATGGAGGAGTTTTGAAAGGAATGTTAATCATCACAAATGAAGACTTAAAACTAAATCTCTATCAGAGGTTAGAATGAAACCCTGAGATGGGCAACAGCATGTCCTCTTGAAATTCTTTTAATTTTTTTTTTTTATTTTTTTTTTGTGAGAGTCAGCACATTACCACTTGAACATATCTAATATTGTTGCTTTTCTACTAGTACTAGCTCACTGCCAGTCATGTATGACAGAGGGAGGGGTGCAGGTGGGGACAGAGGCCTACATCTGGCCTCCCCTACCCTCCAGACAGGACAGACTTTTATAATATTAAAGATATTTTTGTAAAATAGTGAACTCAAATGGTAACATTAAAGTTGAATGTGTAGACCATGTTTTTACAGTGCACAGGATATCCCAAATCATTAAAAATTGGTAAGTAACTGCGCATTTCACATATACAAGCTACAATATTGTTTAGTACTATTTCCACAACAAGTTTCTTGTCTGAGTCTTATTTTAAAATCCCAGTACAAATCTAGTATCTTATAAATAACCATTTCAACTTAGTAAGTGTTTTTCCATACAAGCATTTATTTACCCCTACTTTGGCAGCAGGGACAGCCAAAATGGAATTTTATCAGGAACTTCAAAGAGTGTATTAGGCTAAGTCAAGCATAAGAGAAAATCATGTCAGCTCCAAAAGTAATTTCAATAAGAAATAAAAAACCAAAGCAAAAACAGGATTTTTAAAAAAATTAACATTTTTAGTCAGAAAACAGATGCAAACTGAAACTGCAGTAAAAATGCAAGTTTTTGATGTTTCTGATTTAAGAGAAAAATGCTAAAAACCAAACATTTCCCAAAATAAAAAACTATAATTTCCTTTTGAAGTCTAAGCTAGTTACAGTACATTTTTAAAAGGTTAAATGAAAACAGAACATTTCACTTAACAAGAAACAGAATCTTTTCCTGATTGTTAGTTTGCAAGTATATATCTTAGTAGGCAAGCTCAATTCAAGCTTCTATTGAAATATATTAAAAAAGTGTCAAAGTTTTCTTTGAGCTTTTCTTTTGCTGTTTGTTTAAAATATTTATACAGATCACACACCTGAATCAGAATTAAGCGCCGAATATCTTCATGCAGTTTTTCTAATTTACTTTCCTCCTTTTCAAGTTGTACCCAAATTGACAAAGCAGATTCCAATGGGGAAATTCTTTGATCACTTTCAAAATGATAACCTGAGGAGGAAGGGCAAACTCAAACATTTTAGAGTCACTTGTGAAATGGCAAAATTCATAGTATAATATAGAATAATACTATTTTCCAATAGTTAAAAATAGACTCATGGGAAGATAGGACTGGAAAGGACCTCAGGAAGTCATCTTCTAGTCCAGTCCTCCTATTCAAGGCAGAACCATTCCCAACTAAACTATACCAGCCAAGTGTCTGTTCACCCTGTTCTTGAAAGTTTCCAGGGAACAAGAGTTTGAAACTTCTTTAGGTAGCCTGTTCCAGTAGTTTTAGACCATCATGGCTACCACTTTTATACTTAAAAACACCTTGTCTAAAAGTACAAGTAGTCAGTGTGTTAGAGGCAATATATTTTATTAGACCAACTAAACAGTTGCAAAAGTCTTTATTTGGAACCTTTTGGGCACATGGATAGATGGATGGAGGAGGGACTATTCTCTGTAGGGGACAGAATAGGGAGCCCTCAATGGCTTCAAACTGCAGCAAAGGAAATTTAGGTTGGAGATTTGAGAAGAACTTTCTGGCTACGGGTGTAGTAAAGCACTGGAACAGGCTACCTATATGTGCGTGTGTGTATTTTTTATTATATACATACATACATACATAAAACATCGTGAGAGAGAGAGAGAGAGAGAATCTCAGTTGAACACAACGCTTTATTGATATGTTTACAGTTTTAAAGCAATTCAGAAGCCTACCAGTGCCTCAATCACTATAATAAAATAAATTCTAAATATCTATAAACTTTGACATTTGATTTTGGGTTTATCATGGAAAAATCAGAGCTTCCCCTTTTGATCATTTGTGCTTTTGATTATTAAACAAACCCTAGACTACATCTTTTGACTTATTTATTGCACTAAAACAAGATGTATAGAACAATCTTTAAAAAAAAAAAAAAATCCTGTTCATCCTCTTGCCCAGACAGGACTGCTCATAGCAGAGTAAGAGGTTGGGGAGGGGAGCCCTAAATATGAGAACAAGAAAACTGAAGACAAACCATGCCCAATTACTTTTGGCAAAAAAATATGGCTAGGAAAAAGTTAGAATTGTCACAAGTGGCGAGGAAAATAAAAACAGTTATTATCTTGAGTTTTGAGCAAAAATAAATAAGACATCACATCACATAAATTAATCTGACTAATGTCTCTAAACTACAATGAAGGAAATGTAATGAAGAAACATTTACCAAGTGATTTCCCTTCTGCAATTCGTGCCAAAAACTGACACAGGTTCACTGCTTTCCTCTGATGTGCAGTGATTTTGGGTAGTCCATTAATAATAGCTGAAAGAAAAAAAAGTGACCTTAATCAGTTCCGTTCCAGCAGCACCACTGTGTGGCTAGAAGTATAACAAGCCTAAAACTTACATAGGTGACATATAATAGTAAAAGATTTAAAAATTTTTCTAACCAGTTAGAGCATTAAAACAAGCTATGAGCTATTTGCAAATTTATGTTAGCAAACAACATTTTCCTAAGTTACTAAGTGATGGAAAACACATTACTGCTTCAGACAGACTTGACTAGAGAAACATTCATCTCGAGTTTTACAGAAACCATTTGAAAGAGAGACATAAATAGCTAACAGGTTTATTACACTGTCTATAATAATTAAATTTAGATTTTCTATAGTAATTAAATTTAGAACACAATATCATATGGAGTGAAGCATCAGGATCTTAAAATGAAAGGCAACAACTAGAGAGTTCAGATGCATTCCCCTGGCATGCCCCTAAAGTATGCACTGGCACTTTGGCAAGGAACAAGAAACCGTACCTTGAAGAAACTCAGTTGTTTCTACAGGAAGTTGCTACTTTCAGTTTGTTACCATAGCAACAGCAGGAGCTCAGAAAGGTTAAAGCACATAAGAGGGAAATCCTCTTCACAAGGTAGAGGCGCCAGATGGATTATTATACCTATTAGGTTGGGAATGGGTTTTGGAAAGTCATAATTGAACCACCATGGGATTATTTCCATGGCAACAGGCTGACCTGATTCACCATCATTAGAAATATTAAAATAAGATGGGGGGAGGGGAGCAGAGTGGAGGGGCAAAGGAATATAAATAAGGAGGGCAGATGCACATTACTTTTTTGAGCTTCAAGATACCATATTAAAGAAGTGGATTGCAGTTTGCCACTTAAAAACAAAACCAGTAGGTGAAAATATTAACATCTGTTAGACTTAAAAGTTGTATCAAGTTATCAGGAGGAGTTTTTGAGGTAGACTGCCTCCAAGATCCAAGGAATTGATAGCATTTTGCCAATGCTTAATATTGAAAAAATATATAATCTCACAACAAGGTGAATTTACATTGATACTTTAAAGCTTCACATTTTTAAGGCACTATTAATGCCGAGTTAATAAATCCTCAGGGCTCAAAGAGGAGGGGAAGTATCCAAAAGAAGAGGTGCCCAGTAGATTATTGAATGCTACACAAGAATCAGAAACACTGGTAGAAACCGAAGACACCTATTCAGCACATCACGTAAATGCTGCGTTTACGGGGGCCAGACTGGGGCTCCCAAGTCCTGCATTAATGCTACTAGAGGGACTGTGTAATGGTTTCTCTTTAGGTATAGAGCATTCTATAGCTACTTTGTCCTGTAGATGGAACCAGAGTTTGAAAGATTTTTGAAGCCAGCAGAAAAGTGCAGCTAAAAAGTTTTTAAAGGAAAAAAGGACAGGAAGGGATGTCCTGAATCAGGCAACCAGCCACACAACAATCCCTTTCACAAACTCCTCAAGTGGAACATGGATGATCATCAAAAACTGTTCACAGTATTCCAAGTCTCATTAGTTCACTGTACAACAGAATGAATTGCTCCCTTTCTATTAGAAAAATACCCCACCAGGTATATACAAGCATTGCATTTGCCTTTTTCACAGACAGATCTGTGGCTCAGTCATCTTGTGATCCACAATTATACCAGGTCTCCCTCTTGTCATGTCTACCCAACACCCTCAAAGCTTACAGAAGAAATGTGTTAGTCCCTAATTGCATGCACATACTTTCTCTCTGCCATATTATATTTAATCTTACTTTTATTACTCTAATCATCAAGCCATCCTATTCCTCCTCTGTGATATTCTGTTCTTCTTGTGTATTGATACCTCTTTGACATGACATCAAATATTAGCATATTCCTACTTGAATGATCTTGGTTTAAAAAGTATTAAATAGATCAGGTCCAAGACAGATCACTGGGAAACTCCTCTAATGACAACCTCACAGACATACCCCCGTTTTCAAACGCACTCTTATTAGCATCTCTCTTAAGTAGCTCCTTACTCACCTTACACTTCTTGTACTCATCTCCATCTTCCCTAAATAAATTACCTGCCTGGCACCATATCAAATGCTTTACTAAGCCCTAGAAAGATCAGTCTATAACATTTCCTTTGCTGAGAAAATTATTTATCTTTCCAACGAAAGAATACTGGTTTACCCTGGCGCAATATAACTTCAGGAAACCAAAACACAGCAAGGAACAAGCATTCATTTTTAGTACCAGAAGTTTCCCAGAAATTTTTTGAGGCACTAGAAATTGTGGTGAGAGGGGTATTCCAGCTTGCAGCTGCCTTTTCTTCCTTGCAGACAAACTGGCACTGAGCTCTGACCTCAGGGAAATGGCTCCATGATGTCACCCGTCTGGAAAAAGCATGGGAGGCAGAGACAGTGGTTCCCAGAAATTAGGCAGAAGGGAAATGCCCCTGGTTTATGGAAGGCAAAAAGGAGGTGGGGAGGGGGCATGCACTGGGACCTCAACTCCTCCCAGGGTTGACAAATTGAGCAGTGGGGAAATACTCCACACAGCTTCCACAAACCAGGGTGACTGGTCTGTGGAAGGTGAAGAAGCGGGGCAGCAGCAGCCTGACTCATCCTGGTGGCTAGGATGAGTCAAGTGGTGGGGATATATGCCCAAGGTATAGAGGCATTCATTCTGCCACAAGGAACTTGCGCACAGATGAGATCTTCCTGGCCAAAAGTGGAAGCTCTCTTTGGCAGATCCACCAGGTTTCTTCCATAAGAAATTGCAGAAATGCCTATATGCTCATAGTTTCTAGTGGTAGAGTGGCATTCTCGACATGCGACACCTGTTCACACCTCATGAATCACAGCCTTTAGTTAAATATGCCAATAATGCTCACTGTTAAAAATATAAGTGCTGTTTGAAATGTATATTTGTTCAGATTCAGCTTCTAGTAATTGAGGATCTTGTTATAATGTTGCCAGCAAGATTGAACAATCCTGTACTAATACACTTCTGCTTTTTAAGTAGGTAGGCTGATCAAGTCACACACAGGCTATGCTTAAAAAGCTAGAGTTCCTGAAGTTGCCCTAAGAGTCTTCTGAAAGCCTTTGAGAAACTGTGGGCTTCTGGAGATCTGTCTGACTGAGCACAGGTCCCCGGGGACCGCTGCAGCTGCCGAACAGTAAGCTGGCAAGAGGTGAGAATCAGCATGACTGACATGGGCAACAGGATCTGTTGCTTACACAGACCTGGATGCATTTTCAACAGAGTAATGCATCTATACTGCAAAACAAACAAACAAACAAACAAATTAAATTAAAAAAAAAAACAAGGGGTGCAATCATGCAGTTTGATCTCTTTCAGGTTTGTTGCACCCGAGGTCTGAGATAGCCTGAGTTGTGTGAACTGGAGTCTTACCGTGTGTTAACGAACTGTTCTGGAATGGGCTTGGTTGACGTTGTGGATAAACTTCTCCAGCAGCAAGACAGGAACAGCTGCCCGTTTTTGAGCTCTGCCTCCTCACAACCCCATAGTTCCCGTCTTCTGCTGTTTTGCTCACACCCTGCTTGTGCCCTCCTCTGCTCCAGGGCCAACTTGCCCAGGCCCCAATCTTCTCATGTAACCATGGGCACATTGCTAGGTGCCCACTTCAGCACCCAGCTTGGGACAAGCTCAGAGCAGCGGACCGTCGTGAGGCAGGACACTGGCTCCCTCTGGGAGGCCAAGGATCGGAGGCAGGTGCGACTGCAGTCCTGGGGTCACTCCAGCCCCAAACACCGGTGGGAGCCCTGTTGTCTGTTTAGAGGAAGCGGGCCAGAAGCTGCCCTCTTCAATGCTGACACATGGTTGAGCCGGCACAGGGGGGCAGTTATTTTGGGGGGGTGAGTTACTAGGCAGCTGCGGCACATCTACATGTGTTGCACCTTAACCCACCAAGTGCCCAGCGTGGGGCAGGGGCCTCCGAGCCAAGGACCCGTCCCTTACCCTGAGCCGCATCCCGGCTCCGCTGGAAATCCGGCACGCGGCCGTCGCGAAAATGACGGCACAAGCAGTGGCAGGTGAACTCCAGCATCCAGCCCGCGGCCACCGCCTCCACCTCCGCCAGCAGGTCCGGGGAAAGAGGGGCGTCGGGGACAGCCGCGGCCCAGCTCTCGGGGGCGCGGCTCCGGGGAGACAAAACTGCGGACCCGACCGCCGGCTGCATTTGGAGCACGCACACCAACGGTTTCGTGCCCTACGCGCCCGCCTGCGGCCCCGCCTCCTCCGCGCCAGCAGCCAACCGCGGGCGCCCCCGAGGGCGCGCAGCCCCTCCCTTCCGCATTCGTCACAACTACTTCCGCTCCCGTGGGGCGCGTGGTGGTGAACGCGCTCTCCTGTGACGTAAATAAACATTCTCAGGGACCTGGGCGCTGATTGGCTGAGAGGAGCCGCCCGCCCCTCCCCTCGGCTGTGGGCGGGGCGCCGGGGTTTCCCACAGCTTTCGCTGTCTCGGCGTCACAGTGGCTCGCGCTTGCTTCGTTTTCTGCCGCGCGCGCTCTGTCCCAGCAGCGCTGCCGCTTCCCGTGCCATATTAGCGAACATTGAAATGAGTCGACCCCTTCATAGGAACCAGCCCCACCTTACAGCAATGAATGGTGTAAAACAAAGAATACGTTTCTGTGTGTGTGTGGGGGGGTATTTTATTTTTTAATTTTTAGTGTCCCAGGTCAAATTAGCCAGACCAGGTCCAATCCGTTCGAGTCATCCAAGAACCATATGTGGTCCTGCTGCCAGCAAGCATCCTCCATCCCAGCTTGGGGCTTCAGATATTTCCAAATCCTTTGGCAGGCATCCTACGTGCAAGCCCGAGCCCTGGGGTTCAGGTACCCCCGAGTGTCGCTTGTCTTCAGCCATATGGCCGCACAGAAGCAAGCTAGGGAGGAGTCTCCCATTTCCATAAAGTGGGTGTGTAGCCGAGATCCTCCCGCTTGAAGCTGGCGAGTGGAAAGCTAGTTATGAGGGTCTCGTAGGGAGCCCTGTCCACAAGCAGACAAAGGTGCACCCTGTGCTACACAGTGCCATTTTAATTGCCTTACCTTGGTCAGGGTATTTCCCCTGCCACCATTGTGGTCATGGTATTCCACAAAAAATGTGGAATAACTTTGTGGCTGGTTCCTATGAGCACTGAAATGAATGGGGCCCATGAACAGGGTTGGTTGGGGAGGGTTAGCCAAAGCAGTTCTGACCGGCACTGGAAAAGATGACCCCCAAGGGGGACCTGCCTCTGGTACTTTGGAGCCAAAGCCCTTGGTGGATCTGAGACAAGTCCCTGATGGTCGCCATGAATCCCTTTTACTATGAAATCCTTTTCCCCGCCAGCTCTTCCTTTCCCAGACCTGAGGGAGGCCATGGCTTGCCTTTCTTAACCTTTCTTTCAACTAGAATATTGGTCTCATAAAAGAACATCTCTTGCCTTACAAATCTAGCAGATCTCATCAGTGACCAGGGTCAAAATTCAGTGACAAAGTGGTCACTGGGGTGGTAAGATAACATTGGAATATGCTAAAACAGGGGTGCCCAACTTTTTTGCCTGGTGAGCCGGGTGGGCCGTGCTGGTCTCTCCACAAGCTGGATCTGGTCAGAGGTCCTGATCTGGTACACAGGGTGAGTGCAGCAGGCACCATCCAGCCATGCAGAAAGGGGCAGGGGGCAGGCCAGCCCCAGGGTGGTTCTGCAGGGGAAGGGGGGCATACCCCAGCCCCAACCTGGCCTGTGCGGGGGAAGGAGTGTGGCCTGGCCATAATCTAGCCTTCCAGGGCTGGGAAGAAGAGCAGGTGGTATGCACAGGGCTTGCTTGTTGGGAATTTGGCAGGGAGGAGGGTGGTCATATCAATGGCCACTGCTTCCCTGAAGCCAAATTTCTGGACCCATGGGGATCCCTGTGGGCCAAATGAGATGGCCCCACAGTTCATGTCTGTGCCAGAGGTTGAGCACCCCTGTGCTAATAGGAAGCATAACTGGAAACTGCCCTGAGCTTTTTTTTGAGAGGACAGCATAGAAATCAAATACATAAATATATAAAAGATGGCCTTCATCCACCTAACTGATATGCAGATAACTGATATGTAGATGTCAAAATGCAAGCAATGGGTAACCAATTGGGACTAGCATTGCAATATGCAGTTAAATGAATTATGCACTTAACAAATATGCATGTAAGTGGAGTACATCATATTCTAGACCAGTGCAGCACAGTCTAGTAAACACAATGTAGACCCATCTATGAGATACCTGTACTAAGCTCATCACCACAGAACCTTGAGCAACATGATTAAGGTTTGTCTTGTTGTCTGCTGTCCTATCCTCTTCTCAGAAGAAAAACCTGTGCAGCTTTCCTCATGATAAGGTATTAGGTGTCGTTTCCTGCCCCCTGCCCCCACCCTTGCTTCTAACCACACACGTGACATGTCAGGAAACACAGTTGTGTGTATCATGCATCAAATTCTGTAATGCCTTTACTTACACGTCTGATAGGGGCCTTAGAGAACCAGTTAATCATGTCTTAAGCTGTAACCCAGCCACAACTTACAGCAATTAGTGGTGTCATAAAACAAGGAATAAGCCACAAGGTTATTCCACAAAAAATGTGAACTAACTTTGTGGCTGGTTCCTATGACACCATTAATTAAACCTGTCAAGCTGATAGGGCTCACAGCTATAGGAGCGCACCATGAGCTCTCCTGGCTGGGAGTCCCATCAGCTGGCAGTCAGCCCCCGTTTTCCCACACATACGCACAGCTGCAGGAGCTTGCTACTTGCTGGCACAGGAGGAGCTTGGGTTTGTGATCCTGGACTTCCCCTGCACCTGCAATAAGGTATGATGGCATCTGATACTTGATTTAAGATATTCCACAATCATGCTTCCAACTACACACATGTGGCATGGAAGGAAGTGCAGCTGTGTGTATCATGCATAAGATTCTACCTGCACATCTGGCAGGGGCCTTAGAGAAGGCAAGATCAAAGAAATTGGCCTTGTGCTTGGAACAGAAGGTGGTGATCCCTAAATCCTGGGAGACTGAAAAGGAAATGAGGTAGAAATAATCTAAGTAGCTCTTGTTTTGAAGACTTCAAACAGAATGAATGTTTTGGGAAAATATTTTGAGGAAAAAGAAAAAAAAATGATGTGGTATGATGGCAATGTCTGTAAGGGGCTGTACAGGAGAAAGATGTAATGAGTGATGGGGATGAACATAAAGGATAGGCTTAGAAGGAGAAAAGGTGAAATGTAGAATGAAAAGAAAACCTAGACCTACTTGGGGTGGAGTTGTGCAAGGCTTTGAAACTGAAAATTGGGAAGCTTGAGCTTGTTGAAACCAGCGAGGGAGAAGGTTGTGGTGAACATCAAGGGAAAAGACTATGATTTTAGTAGCAGCTGTTCTGAAATAGTCTATCAGGTTGTCAGTTTTGTCAGCTGGCAGTTCCTTTTACATGCACTACAGCTATATAAAGTGAGGATGAAGTGCACCAATCTTAAAAGGGAATCCGCTATATATTTGACAGCTGTGAAAACTTAAGGAAGAAGAATTATTTAGCGTGTTAAAATGAGCAATGAGATTAAGAAAGGAAAAATTTACGCTGAGTAGCAGGAACATTTTCCTGACACTGGGATCTGTTGTAATGTGAAATAATTTTCTGAGCTATGTGGTAGAAGTCCTATTAGTTGGGTATTTTAGAAACAGAAGATGAAATGCTAAAAATATACTCTAGGGAATGATTCTGTGTTAACAGGAAAATCTAATCAGTCTGTTTCATCTCTAATTTATTGAGTTCTCAAAAACTGCTAGACTCTGGCTTTTCTTACAGTGCTAATTGTGGTACAATTATGTTGAGAAATAAAATAAAAATTAAATTAAATTACTTCCTTTATTTAGGTCATCTCTATGATTATCAGTGGAAGTTAAGAAATTTAAATATATAGTTTGTAGAGGTACAAATAGTCTTCAACATTAGCAAGCCAGTTTTGCTGATAAATACCTCAGAGGCCTGATAGAGTTGCATCATTTTTTTAGGGATTTGTACTCTGGTGAGTAACCCCTCAAGATGAATTTACTGTTGTTTACATCATTGCCTGATAAATTCAAGATAATAGCAAGCCTGAAAACTGTCAAAAAAATTCACCACGCTACTAATAATTTCAAAAATCAAACTTCTGTCATTGCTAGGTAAAAAAATTGAGCCAATTGTATGAAATAATGTAATATTAGGAATGAGATCACCTGTAGTAATCTTAAATTGATAATGTTTTTCTGTCTGTGCAGAAGCAGCTGAAGAAAAGAGACAGTGAGCAAGGTAAAAGCTATCAATCAAAAGTTTTATCAAACCTACACACTGTTGACTATGTTGGAAAAATTCTTCTTTGCTTTTCTTTACTCACGGAGAGTCCTGATTGCAGAGGCATTGGTGTGGTTCAGAGTGTGTGATAAGAATAGCACAGCTTTTGCACATTGTGGACTTGTGCTGTGTCAGGGCACAGGAAGAACTCCCCTCTCCATGCTTCAGGTCACATATAGAGACATATCTGAACGCTCTACAGCACTGGTGCCCAGTGGGCTAGATGGGCAGTGCCCAGTCCATCCACAGCCTGAATCCGATCGATGGTCCCAATCCAGCACCTAGGGTGGGTGCGGTGGACTCCATCCAGCAGCACAGAGGAATGTGGGGGGCAGCGAGCCTCAAAACAGCCTCACAGGGGAAAGGAACTTGACCTGGCCCCACATGGGAAGAGGGCATGGCCCAGCCCCATGGGGAAGGGGTACATATGGAGCTTTGGTTTGGGGAATGTGGCAGGGGAAAGGATGGCTGTATTAATGGCTACTGCTCCCCTGCTGCCAAATTTCCAGACCCCTGGGGATCCCCGTGGGCCAGATGAGATGGCTTCATGGTCGTGGGTTGCATTTGGCCCATGGGCTAAAGATTAAGTACTCCTGCTCTACAGCATGTAACAATTTTTGGAGCCCCTGGTGAAAGCTCTCCATTGTTTGGTTTCTTCAACATTACAGAAATGCTCTTTGGTACTTCCATGTCTATACCAAGGGAACACATTTTTGTTCCAAGAATGACTTTGAA